GAAGGGAGGAAGGGAAGGCAGCCTAGTTTATTGCTTTTGTGGGTTGCATTTCTGAAGTAGGAATCTGTCTGGGAAGAACCTTGCTGTGCCTGTACCTCCAGGGTGCCCAACACTGTCTTCTCTGACCTTCCTGCCCCTAGTACCCTCATCCTTGAGTCACAGAGGGCCGAGGGCTCTGGCTTGTAGAGGTGCTCTCTGGAGCAGCTCAGCCTGGCTTTCAGGCAGCTGAGCAGCAGCTGCTTTGCTCCAGTACTCTCCATCCCTGCAGGCAACTGCCTGTCCAGTCAGACCCCTTGGTCACTGCTGGGCCAGCCCTGAGACAGCTCCATGACATTCCTCTAGGGCACAGGGCTCCAGGCAGGACCTACTTCCCCTCCGAGATGCTATCTTGACCATTCACAGCTCACCCTAACTAGTTTTCCCAGGACGAAAGGACAAGTGAGTGGAGGGATCATTTTGCCCAGCAGAGATGGTTTACACTCATTTTGCCCAGCTGGAAGGCAGAGGAGGCCCAGGCAGGATGGTCCAGGTGGAGCACAAGGGGGGCTGTGGGGCAGTGTCCTGAAGAACAGCCCAGTCCTCAGGGTACTGGGACTGGAGTTCAGTCCAGTCCTTCAAGTCCCTGAGAGACAGCAGGACTGCATACACACAGGTTCCAGGGCTTTGCCCGAAGTGTGCCTTTTCCTTAGAATCATAGAATATTCTGATTTGGAAGAGACCCACAAGGATCAATTGAGTCCGACTCCTGGTCCTGCAGAGACAACCCTAAGAAACCCACCATATGCCTGAGAGCCTTGTTGCTTCTTGAGCTCTGTCAGGCTTGGAGCCGTCACCTTCCCTGGGGAGCTATTCCAGTGCCCAATCACCCTCTGGGGGAAGAACCTTTTCCTAATATCCAGCCTAAACCTCCCTTGACACAGCTTCATGCCATTCCCTTGGGTCCTATCACTAGTGCAGCTGCACAATATTTTGGGGGGAGGGGGATGGGGGGGGAAAATTCATCCTTTCAGCAGCAGGGCTGTGGATGAACTAGATGCCACACAGGGTTAGACACAACCTAACATGATCCCACTGGTTTTCTCCTAGAAGTGGATTTGGACCAAAATTTCAGAGAACTGGTGAGCTGGGGACAGCAGCGGTACAAGGAAATTTGCACCCCTTTCCCCTGTGCTTGTAATGTCAATGATCTCCAGCTTCCAGACTCATGTCTCAGCCCAGTTGTAATTGCTGCAGGGGCAATTTTTCCCAGATATATTTGTCCTCAGAGGGAGGGGGCCAGGCATACTGATAGTCTGTCCATCCCTACACACTGAGCACCAAAGGCACAGGCACTGTCACAGCCCACCAGGATTTTGCACTCCTGAGCACAGGGAAGGACAGGAAAGGGTGAAGGGCAACAGTAAGGTGATTACAGGAAAGAAGGTTGTCATTATATTTCTGTTTCTTTGCTTGAGTGAGGAGGAATGCAGTTTGTATTTTGGGAATCAAATAAAATGCAACGGTTGCCCAAACCCATCCATCCTGCAGTCCGGAAGGACGCAGTGCCTGCCGAGCCCAGCCTGTGCACCACACAGATCTGGCAGGATCAGCAGAACCTCCCGCACCGAGCTCCACACTGCCCTGCCCAGGCAGAAGGAATGGGTGGTCCATGCCCTGGGGACCTGGCATAAGGGCAGACAGATATGAAATGGACCTGAGCTGCTGGACCTCCAGCGCCATGGCTCCCCCTGCACCCTCTGCTCTGTGCCTCTGCGGAGCCAGATCACCTACTGTTTGACTGTATCATAATCATCTCTGTGGCTTACAAGATGGTTTTCTTCCAGTTTTATGTCATCTCCGCAGTTCTTCCCCTCATAAAAAGTGACTGCACCAATTTCTGTGATCAGGGCCGGTCAGCTAATAGGGACATTTCATGTTTCCCAGGCAGAGCCTTTAAATCAGATCCAGCCATATCCTATGCTCAAAGCAGAGAGGGAAGAGGGGGACCCCCTGTTTCCTTGTAGAACGCTGCAAGCCCTTCCAAAGCTGCTCCCCACTGCACTGAAGTGAGCTCCCAGATGCTCCTGAGCACTACGGAGGGATGAGCATCTCCCTCACCCCACAGCCCTCTCTGAGGCCAGGGGCCAGCAACACTTGGTGCTGCCACCTGAAAGCCCCTGTTCCGTCCTGGGGTAGAACAAGGAGGCAAGGGTTGTGGGGACAGTGTATGTGGAGGAAAGGGGTGGTGAATGGATGGGAGCAGGTTTGGGTGAGGTGCAGGGAAACCAGAGGTTTCAAGGAGAGACAGGTTCAGTCATGGGGACGTGGGAAACTGCAATACACTAGTGTGCCTTCAAAACCTGATGAAATCAGTGAGGATACTCCTCCATCCACAGCTTCAAGGAACCATGGACCAGGCCCTTTGGGAGAAAACTCCTGCCCTGAATCACCATGGAATTGGCCTTGGCCTCTCTTCCCCATGAGAGCACAAGCATGAATCTGTTTCCATCAGCCCTCTGGAGAGGGACATCTCAATGTGTACCTGTCCTCCTGTAGACTGAAGATCCCCCAACCCTATGCATCTCCTAGTGAGGAGGAAATAGCATTGCCTGGAAAAGACTTGAAACAGCCAAGCTCGGCAGGCTCAAGCCAAAAGTCCTACAAATCCCCCTCCTTCTGCAGTCAGCTGTGCTTCTTCATTGCTGGCTCCTCTCCAAGAAATGGACCTCAACTGGAACCAGGAGTATAACAGTACCCAAGGATTATTCCATATTCCATATTTCATCTCCACCAAGCCCTTGCCATTCTCCTTTTTTTCTCACAGGACACAAGAGAGGAATTGCAGGTCCTTGCACCTCCTACTGAATAGCAGCCAGGCCACCAGCTCCCCAGGGAATATTTATCCCATATTGTTGCTGAGGGGTCAGCCTTGCAGACCAACCAACAGCCCTGCCAGCAATCACCCCAACCCTCTGCAGGGAAAAGAGCCAAAATATCTGGCATTTGGAACAGAAGTGGAGGAGGGATGTCTTGTTTGTGATGGAGGAAAGTTTAGAGTAGAGGAAAAGCAGATTGTCTCTGTCCCAGCAAAATATCCCCAGAAATATCACACCATGGACAACACAACTGTCTGCAGAAATGGGTGATAGTGGGAGGAGAATAGCCAGTGAGAGGAGAAGGGAAACCAGGAGGTGAGAAAGAAATATGAGGGAGAAGGCAAGAAGGACATGAAGGCTAGCAAACAGCAGAGGATTGAAGGGGTCATACAGGAGCATTTCACGAGGTCAGTGCATGCTGCGAGTGGCTAGGCTAGCAGCACAGACACACGACAGCCCCTGTGTTCTGCTCCCCACGACCGGTCGTCACCATACCTCCAAAGTCAGGCCTGAGGCGGACATCATAGCCCTTCAGCAGTTTGTCCACAATCTCTTTCACCACAGAAATATTCCCAGTGGATGGGCTGAAAGACAAAAGAAGAGAGTCTTTGTCACCCCATGTGCCACCGGACACGTAGGCAGGGGTCCTGGCCAAGCAGCATCGCCACGGCATCTTTCACAACCCATGGAACTTCTGTGTGCTCTGGACACCCCAGCCATGGGCAGAGCCTTGCCATTTTCTTTCTCACTCATGTTTTCTGTCCTTGGCACAGCTCCTAGACCCCAACATGCACATGAGCCCCATGGGGCTACCAGGGGCCCTAAGCTGTCTTGGGGGTGGCTTAGAGGTCTCAGCAGTATTTTGGTTTCTCTTCTGCAGCTCACTCTGGTATGCCAAGCTCCATTCCTCCATGCTTCCTCCTGGTGTATGCCTGCATGGCAGCAGTCCTGCAGGTGCATCCCTCAATGCACATGCTCTCTCTGCCCACCAACCTGCACACTTGGGAGCCCTCCCTGTGCCCTGCCTGTTGTAGAGGGGTGCACAGACACACACAGGTAGAAATTGCCCTTTCTGTTCCCCCAAGTGTGTGTGGAGTGGCTGGAGCCTCTCTCTTGCAGGTCTCACTCCCCTTCTCCTGACATGCTAGGCTCTTGCTCCTGGTCTCACACTGCCCAGCATGGACTTGTCATGCCCTGAGGTCCCCACTATATGAGGTCCCCACTATATAATGTCCCCACTACACAAGTGCCCTCCCAGTGCAACCTCTGCTTCTCAGTGTACCCAGGTGTTTCTTCATATTATTGAAGTAAAAAAGAAAACAGCTCTCCTTTTTTTTCCTATGGCCTTAACATAGGGCTGATCTTTGGCATGTAAAAATTCATTTTCTGTCACTCAGCATCACCGTGACTTCTTAGCAACGCAGATCAAGAGGCAGAGACAGGGAAGGAGAGTCCATCTTTCCCTCTGTGTGCCAGAGCAGCAATCCTTTCCTTCCCAACCCTTTAACTTGCACACAGAGCGGGCAGCTGTCCTCCCTAACAGCAATCCAGCCATTACCACAAGAAGGTAGCTCCCTCTAAAATGAGCCCAAGATCCAAAGCAAAACTGAAGGTGGGAAACCAGAAAGCAGGGGAAGCTAAAAATATTGAACCTATTCAGTGCTGCGGGGTATATAGGTTTTCTGCCTGAATACCCAGCCTCTGTGCCACCCTCGTCCCCTGTTTTGCATAAGAATAGAGACCCTGCCGGTGACAACTGCTGCTCTTTGCAGTCACCCACCACAACAGCATGTCTCCCTGTCAACACCACCTCCCACATCCATCCAAGTCAAGCTGGAAAGCTGCACCATAGCACTGCCTCTGCCAGCCAGCCCCGTGCCTCACTGGACACCAGGGTGTGCACTGACACGTCCGCGGTGTGTGCATGCACACAGCCAGACACGGACACAGCTTTCCTGGCTGTGTGGAGGGTGTGTGGACTCCCTGCCTGTGCACACAGACATGCAGACACACAAAAGCACTGGAGTTCAAGGGTACAGCTGTGAAACATGCCCAAACATGTGTGACTACATCCCATTCAGTGACTGGAGGTGACCAGAGGTGACTGTGGGTACAGACCTTGCTCCATTGGGTTATGATGAGATACTGGGCTGTGGACATAATTGATGCAGAAGCACAGAAGCAGGCATTTGTGGGTGCCTCAGGCTGGTTTCCCAGGTGTCCAGAGTCTCCATAGAGGTGTGGGTGGAGGCATGTAGGACCACTGGGGAGGCTGAGCATGTGTCAAGGCTCTGGATGTGCAGGGACTTCTCAATCAGACCGGGATGTGCAAATGTGAGACAGCATAGTTCCCAGGCCCAGCTCTGGTGCATGGACAAACTACTGAGCACTTGTGCTGGCAGGGGAAGGTGTCTGAGCTCTGTTCCTGAGCATGCATCTGAAAGTGGTACAGTTCTTCATTGCACTGCTTTAATCACTGTGAAAAGGCCAGAGATGTGTGCACAGGTGGGCATTTTCACAGCACTTTGTCTAGGCTTGCAAGGTCCACTTGCACCTGTGGATTTCCATGCAGGCATGTGAGATTTTGCAGCATGCTTATGTATGTATTGTCACTGTGGATTATTGATTGTGTGCACCAGCACTTGTTCATCTCTAGACAGCCATTCCCAGGTACATAGATTTCCATATTCATGTACTTCCATATTCATAATATAGACACTGAATTTCTCAAGGGATGTAGACATTTCTGTTTATCTTCCTACAGGACATAAACTTGGGAAGCAATGTTACCTCCTTAATATAGGCAGGGAAATTGAGGCAGAGACAGTAACCAATGTGGCAAGGGCTCTGCAGAAAGGGGTAGAGTGGGAAGAGGGATACAGGGGCTGTTTCCTCATCAGCTACAAGTTGGCCTACTGAGGGCATGAACTGGCATCATGATCAAGGGCAAGGTCTTTTGCCTCTCAGTGCTCCTTGGGAAGCAATGTTACCTCCTTAATATAGGCAGGGAAATTGAGGCAGAGACAGTAACCAATGTGGCAAGGGCTCTGCAGAAAGGGGTAGAGTGGGAAGAGGGATACAGGGGCTGTTTCCTCATCAGCTACAAGTTGGCCTACTGAGGGCATGAACTGGCATCATGATCAAGGGCAAGGTCTTTTGCCTCTCAGTGCTCCTTTCTAACCGCCATGTCCCTTGAACAGGCAGATCCTGCATTTGCCCAGCTGTGGGCGAGCAGCTGCATGTAAGTGCTATTCCTGGCAAATGTGGGTCTGCATCCGCTTAGGGAGCACATACATCCAGCCTGTGAACTGAATTCTGAAGTGCTGTGTCCCTGATTCTGTGTGGGTGGGCATGTGCTTTGCAAATACACGTACACTTGCAGCCAAACATCTACATACATGCTCCCTGTGCTGCTGGCTGGGGTGTGTAGGAGTAGCTGAAGGCATGTGCACATGGGAGAGTGTTTTGTCTCCAAGCTGTGCACAGACATACATGCAGACTATAGGTGAGTATCAGTCCTGGACACAAACAGGTATAAACACACATGCGAGGACATGTCTGAGCAAGGGGTTTGCTCTGGGCATTATTCTTTACATGTTTGCTTGGTGCCTCTAAGTATACCTGTGTGTGTCTCCCCACACAGTGGGACCACACATGAATGGTGTGGGCAAGGTGGGTGTGCATCTGCGCATGTGCATGTTTATAACTATGGGAACATAAATCTGTGTATCTACAGCTCTGCAAGGCTGTGCAGGGACCTGCGTGTGTGCGTCGGGAACGCACTGCTCCCTGTGCATGGCTGAGCAAGAAAATGCCACAGCTCCCCCCCAGCAGACTTCATGCACTCACAGCATCAGCACGGAGGTACAAACCCACCTGCCTGCATGTGTGAGAAGGGAGGGCGAGGAGGAGTAGGTAGCGCTACTCCTGTGTGTGAAGGCAGTGGATAACTGCCGCGTCGGAGCAAACAGGTGTGCTCCGTACACCTTGCCCAAGCTGGATGGGTGCCTGCACCTCTGGCTGCTTGGATTGCTCAGAGCACTCAAGGCATACACCAGGAATAGCTGCGGCTTGAACACGCAGGGTATTAGTTCCAGCATTCACACAGTGCAGGTAAAGTGTGCCGTGCTCTGGAGGTGTGTAGTGATACACATACGTGTGCCCCCGAATGGGCACGGATGAATGCGCACATGCAGGGACGGATCTGGGTGGATGGAACCCACAGATGATGGTGTTGCATGCCATAAATCTGCGCGGAGGCACAGCCGTGGGCATCGCCTCCGGAGCACCGCAGAGCTGGGGCTGTGGCACAGCACAGCACGCTCGGATGTGAGTGTGGCTGTGTGCGCTGCGTGTGTGCGGGCACAGGCATGGCCAAGGCAGCCCTGCGCCGGGTGCGTATGCGAACAGCTCGGTGCCAGGCGCTCCGGCGGCTCCTATAGACACCATGTTCCCCAGCAAAACGCTTCATTTTGCCATTTTCCCCCAGGCTGAGTAAGGGGGACACACACACACATGCGCTGCAAGTGGGCTGCAAGGTGGGATCCGGCTGCAGAGTCTGCTCCACATCTCATGTATGAGCATCCCTCCTCCCCCTAAAATGACATGGACTGGGAAATAACAATAGCAGACAGCAGGAGAAGCAATTTGGGGAAAGGACCCCCCTCCCTTTCCCACATACAGATCGATGGAGAAAATCCCAAACAACATAAACAAATCCTGTCCCAGCCCCCCTGTCCCTGCAGCCTGGGATCGCAATCCTTACCTTTGCGCACAGCAGGCGAGACAAAGAGCTGCTAAAGCAGAGACAATTCCACTCAATCTGTCTGCCTGAAATGTCCACATTTCCACAAAGACGAAGGATGAAAAAAGAATCTTTGGAGGGGAGGGGAAAGAAGGATGAATCTTCCGAAATCCCCCTCCACAAAAAGGGGGGGAGGGAAAAAAGAAACCAACCCCCCCCCCAGTTAATGATTTCCTAGAGAAAAATAATAATGAAAAAAACTAAAAAATGTGGGGGAAAAATACCCCCCCTCCTTCAGTGCCAGTCAAAGAATTCGTTTCTTCTTCCTTTCAGCATCCTCTCAACAAGAGACATCCTCTGGCAATGGAGAAAATCCCAAGAGAAAGAAAAATAAAATGCCTCAAAATGGGCTCAGCAAAATGTGCAATCGAATCTCACAGGTACGCAGAAGAAGGAGAAGAAGAAAAAATTAAAAAAAAAAAAGAAAAGAAAAAGAAAAAACAACTCAGTGTCCCCTGAGCACTCCACTTGGATTATTTTTCCTCCTGCTCTTTTGCCATCCGGTTCTGCAGATGTTGCATGGCTCCTGCTACCCACCTTCAGAGAGGAGGAGGAGGAGAAAGAGCGTGTGTGTGTGTGTGTGTGCGCGAGAGAGTGTGTATGTGTGAGGGAGGACGTGTGAGTTTTCTAGCGATATGATTTTATTCTGGATTTTACCTATTTGCTCCCCCTTCCTCTTTATTTTCCGAGGGGGAAGGGGAAGCAATTCAGCCTCACTGTGCAGTTATTTTATTTTAGGGAAATCTCAGGCTCATCATTTGGAGGTTTGGGGCTTTTCTGAAAGGGTTGAAAAGAAAAAAAAGGAAAAACAAATGCAGCCCAGTAAATAAATAAATACATATATGCATGTGTAGGAAATAAATAAATCCCTGTCTGCAGAAAGCGCTGCTCTCTGAGGGAGGGCTGGATGTCTCCCTAGTGCTGTTGCCGCAGCTCCTGTGGAGTTTTGCTGCTCATTGCAAAGTCACAAGAGGAGGGGAGGAGAGAGGGAGTTTGTGGTTGGGGAGGGGGACTCTCCGGACAAATTGGGATCCTGACGTCATGGCTGACAACATTAACCCCTGCTGGTTTGCAGAGAGGAGGAATGGGGGTTTTTTGGTTGTGGGTTTTTTTTTCCCAAGGGAGGTGGGAGCAGGGAAGAGGATGGGAAAGGTGGTGGCATTTTGGCAAGCTGGACACGAGTAGCTCAGCTGTAAGCACTGATGAGTGCTGTGGTTGCTTGAAACAGTGTGATCAGCAAAGGCTGAGCTTCTTCCTTCAGCCACAGAGATAAAAAATAAGGGGATTTACTGAGACTGTCTCCATGCCACAAGGCAGCGTGGCCTGGTGGCCTCCTTCTGGGGCACTGGGGAAGATCTGAAGCCTCTGGTGGGGCTGACGACTTCCCCAGGCCAGGGAAGTCCAGTTCAGTAGGGATGCTCATCTCTCCCTGAAGGGTGCTATGTTATGCATACAATAGAGTTTGCAGGAAAAGGGAGCCTGAGCTTCCAGAAATGCTGCTGAGGATGAGCTACTGGTGCTGTCTTTGCCTGCTGAAATGGTAGCAGCCATTGAAATCATCACAGTCTCCCGTGCATCAGCTTCTGATCTTTGTCTTAAAAAAAGTAATATAATTAAGGAAATCTACATCAGGCATGCAGTAGCACATGACCATGCAGGGTTTTTTCCTAGGAAAAAGAAGAGATCCAGCAGCACTTTGAATGCAGGGCAAAAGCCAAGGCTCAAGGATGAAACACCTGAGCTCCTATGCCAGGACTGTCCTGGATGCCATATCCTTTGTACCTGCCTGGCAGCTCAGAGCAGACCCTCTGAGCAGGTAAATCTCCCTTCCTCTGGTGCTGGCTTACACCTGTGTGTGAATGGTCTCCAAAGGCCTCTGGGCCAAGATGGCAGAGCAGATGTGTCTCCACAGCTGGGCAGGGCAAGGTCTAAAATGCATCTGAAGAGGCACAAGGCTATTGCCCAGTGGCTGCCAGGCAGCACCCCTGTCCTGCGGTTGCCTGTGTGAAAATCTGCCCTAATCCTGGATGGAAGAATCCTTGGGTCTGGTGTTCCTAATGCTTCTTTCCCTCATGCTTGGCATGGCTCTTCATAGTTTCCTCATCAGAGGCACACCACAGATCCTGTAATTCAAATCTCCTTTCCCAAACAGGGGGATGGAGAATGACCCTTTGGAAGAACTTCCCTGTTGCAGGCCAGACTGTTGCAATGCAGAGATATTAAACCAAGAAAAAACTGGGCTGCATGGTGTGCTGTCCTGGTGTCACTGCAAGAAGGTCCTGGGGGCAGCGAACATGGGAGACCTGTGGAGGAAAGGAAGGCTCAAGGAAGGTTTTGCATGTATGCTAGAATGGGAGGGGAAAAGATCTTCTCACCTGCTGCTGAGGCTGTGGAAAAGGTTCTCTGCTTGGTTTAGAACCTGTATCACTCCTGCTCCTCCAGAGCTCCATGAGTTAAGCTCAGAGCAGTGATCTCCAGTGTTTCTTCAAAGACCAAAGCAGATAAGTGGCACTTATCACATGCCATGGGCTTTCACTGTAGACCACTTGCTGTGGCCTTCCAGGCTGCATTTAGATGCAGGGACATCCAGCTATGGCTGGTGATATTTAGCTGCATCATAGCCCAAGGCAACTGCTGCCTGTCTGCCTGGGCTCTCAGCGCTGGCTGACCACTGTGCCCAGGGTGTATGCCCTCAGGATGTTCCCTGGCTTCAACATGCCTGATGTCACAAGCAATGCATGCTTTGTCAACCGCCCAGAAGCTTGTGGCTCCCTGATTCCTGTGGCTGAGGGGTCCCCTTTTGCCTAATGGGCTATGAGGACATGGGCCAGAGCAATAGCTTTTCCCCATGAGCCTGTTGAAGAAGAGGAACCAGCCTAGCAGATCTGGGCAGTGTTTGGTCAGGCTCAATCCCAACATGAAAAGCAGTTGGTCCCACCATTCCCACAGGCCAGTTTGTCTCCTGTGTGGTCGCTTGTGCCTCAGCTGGTGTGCCTGGCTCTGCAGTGCAGGACACAGCCAGTCATGGCATGGTCCTGCAAGATGTCCTCATGTGTACATGTACCTCTGGGAACCGTGAGCCTGGGATGAACTGCCCAGTGCTACCCAGGTGCCAGCTGTTGTACAGGTATGGTATTTACCTCCTTTGCTGCTGCCAGTGTACAAGTTTCCTGACAGCAGTGAGTTTCTGAAGCATTTATTCTGAATTAAGCTGCTGGGTTCCAGGGACGAGCTCTTGGGGAGATGAGAAGCATTTGCCTCTGCCAAGGCTCTGGACATCTAAGGCCCCATTTAGCCCCTCCTGGTTCCTTCCTTTTCTGTCCCCGTAGCACTGCTCTCTCCCACCAGCTATGATTGCATGTTACTGGCAGAAAAGGTAAGTGGAAAGCAAATGTCAGAGGCATACATGAAGAGGAAAAATTATGCTCACAAATGGTGACATTTGTGCTTGCAAGTTCACCCAGTCGGGAGCAGCAACCGTGTCACATGAATTATCTGACCACTCAGCCACAACGGGAAACTTTGGAAAGCCAATTGCTTGGCAGTACAAGCATTCAGAGAAGCTGTTGTGTGCTCTTGAATAATCTACCTGAAGCCATGTTCTTGAATAAAGGACTGCTTTGGAATTAGTCACCCATCTCTGCTGAGTCTCATTAAGGCTGATGCACATTGATATGTGATGATGCTCACTGAGGTGTTTGTTTCTTGCCCTCCGGAAGATGGGCATCCTTGAGCCCCTCCCAGAATCCCAAATACTGTGTCTCCCTCCTCTGCTGGGAGCTGTCTGCTCTCCAGTGAGAGCTCAGCAATGGGTTTTTCTGAAGCTCACATTCTGAGTTCAAAAAGAGCTGTGGGGGCTTCTGGAGATGACATGCTGTGGCTCTAATCACTCTGAAGAGACCATGGATGATTATGTTCATGTCCATTTGCTGTCATCCACTGTTAAATCACTAATTTTCACATCTCTCTTACTTGTTGCTCTGCTGCAAACTCCACATCCTGACCTTCCTTCTTATCCTGTGCCCACCTCTGACTCCAAGTCCCAGTCAGTGCGACTGCAGATCACTGCTTATGGTCTGGACCCACCAGACACAGTGTCTAACAGCTGAGCCTTTGCTGGGTCTTCATCTGTGTGCTGCCTCCATCTTTGAGCTCATGGCATGGGAGAGAAGGATCAGTGCTGACCTGAGGGGGCTGCATACATAAAGCAGTGAGGCAGTGAATCAGATTG